AAGTGGTGAAGCAGTAATCATATGCATGTTTCCCGCCTTTTTTATATAAACAAAAACGTATTTTCTGGATGATGCTTTTATTTAATAGGAGGAACATTGTTTATTATGTAAGAACTTACTAAAGGATACACTATTTCCCATAAAAATATAATATTAAACAGTAGTATTTTCGGTGAGTGGACTCGTAACTCAACCGCCGTTGACATGTTTTTCGTGTTATAACAACTCTCTGGGTTGGCTATAGTCATGGTTTTTAATGCGGGATGACAATCTTTGACAGGAGCTTTATCTTTGAAACGATTTCACGGCAAGTACTCTTTTAGTGTCCTTCGATTATGTCATTGAAGCTTTTGAAAACCTGATTTCTTTTAATATGCATAAATAAATTATTATTAGCCAGTGCAAGAATCTTTTCATGCATATTAAAAGAAATCAGGTTTTCAAAAGCTTCAATGACATAATCGAAGGACACTAAAAGAGTACTTGCCGTGAAATGGAAATCATGATACAAGTATTAACTTGTATCATGATTTCCATGCATTTATAATTAAAATATTTTAAAGACAATATCTTAGTGTTGTCACCATGGAGCCTGAAAAGTATACGAAACGTGAAGAATTATTTAAATAAAATTAAACGGAGTTCACCAACACTTGATAAAATAATATATTTATCTCATGCGTTCATATTAAAGAAGTTACCACCTACAACATTTCCACCTTCAATAAAAAAGTTAAGATTCTATTTAAAACAAAGAGCAGAGAACAAAGGACAACCAACATTAATTTATCTTTTTATCTAGTTTGCCTATCATTTATCCATGTCCGAGTAAATTAAGAGGCACTGAATGTTGACAAATTCTTGGGGCTATATTACTATCGCTCCAGTAAGGATGATTCCTATGACAGAGGACGACAGATGATGACAAAGAAGTGACAGCTTGAAACAATTCTCGACAGTCTACGAATATAATAAACTAGCTTATCCGGCGAACTTCGTATCTCTTACAATATTTTGGAGGAAATGAAAGCTATCCATTCGACAGGAACATAGCTTTTACCATAGTAGAATAGAATAGAATAGAATAGAAATAAATTTATTAGCCTTAAACACAGTAACATTTACATAAATAAAACAAGACAAAATAGGCCAACTAGGTCCCTGCCTCAGCTTGAATACTACAGCAACACCAGGGATGCTGCAGCGCTGATAATTCTGGCAGGGCCTATGGTTGATGACACAGATAATTAATAAAAACAACAATAATACACAAAAAGAAACAAGCATACCAATAAATACATATCAAAGAGAAAAAAAGAAAATGGAATGGCTGTATAATTTTACAATCTTAGCCTTTAGACAATGCAAAGATTTAGTAAAAAAATAAAATAAAAAAAAAGAATGACTAATCTGTGGGAGGACAGAGTTCACAGCAAAGTTCACAGAGTACAAACTGAACCTCCAAAAAAATAAAAACACTAACCTTAAACTTTAAACACAATTAAATAAGTATTTATGTTGCAAAAACAATAATAGTAATTTCGCTGCCGATTTATGCCTGTGTGTAACTAAGAATAGACAGCAAGAGAGGACAAACAAAATAAGGCAGTATGCAAAAACAACAAATAATCAGCAAATACACAGGAATTCAGCTACAAATACAATTTTTCATCTTACATTACTATACCAACGTGGTGAAAGCAAGATGGATGGCGAGATTTTTTATAAGGATATGGCTATAATAACAGACAAACATTACGCCGATCGTCGATAGTGCCAGCTAACACAACCGGAACGATTCAAACAAACCGACGCGAAGTGAAAAAACTAGGTAAGTCGTGTCGTGAATCCTATGATGAACTTTGTATATGAAGTAGATATATTTTGCAATGTTTTCTGAATGTTCCAATGGTTTTCAGATCACGCACGGGCGGGGGAAGATCGTTCCAGCATTTTGAGGCTGCAAACCGAAAGGATCCACGAAATGCTGCTGTTCGGTGCTTCATGGTAGAGAAGACAGGCCAACACCGTCTAACCGGGTATCTACTCTGGTCACGCATCCATACAAGCTTATTATAGAGATAGCTTGGCCTTCCTTTGTCCAGAACATCAAATAATAAGGTAGCTAGATGTAACTTCCTCCTTGCCTCCATCTTTAAAAGTTTTGCGGCGTTCAAAAAGGGAGTTATGTGTGAACGAGGAGGCACATAAAAACAAAAACGAGCACAAGCATTCTGTATGCGTTGAATGATCTTACTAGTTCTGGACATTAGGCAGGGTCCAAAAACAGTATCACAGTAATTTAACTTTGAAAGTACGAGCATTTCACACAACTTGATTCTCAGCTCCTCACTTAAATAGGGTCTAATATTGTACAGCAGCTTTAACCTATAAAAGCAAATGCGGGAACATTCAGCAATGTGACTTTCGAAGCTAAGTTGTTCATCCATAATCAGTCCCAAATTTCTAGCATAATTTACGCGTTCTATTCTCTCTCCATCTATATTTATATTAAGTGTCATGTCTTCAAAAAATTTAACATTCTTTTTGGAACCTATTAATAATAATTTAGTTTTTTTTGGGTTGAGAACCAGCGAGTTCGACCTGCACCAATCGGAAATACGATTTAGATCCTCATTCATCTTATTTACAGCATTATTGTGGTCAGAGTACTTGAATGGAAGATACAGTTGCAGGTCATCTGCATACAAGTGATATTGACAGTGGCTTATATTTTCTGTGATATCACCGCTGAATAAAACATACAGAGTGGGTCCCAAAATTGAACCCTGAGGGACACCATGGGTCACCATGAGCTTGTTGGAGCGCTGTTTGGTTCCATCTATCCTAGTCAGCTCAACGCACTGTTGTCTATTTCCAAGGTAACTATGAAACCACTTTATTGATTGGGCACTAACTCCATAGTAAGCCAGTTTAGAAAGCAGGAGATCCACATTTATTGCGTCAAACGCCCTTGAAAAATCAAGCAATAAAAGGATACTAAGGTTCCCCTGATCCTGGGCTGCTAGAAGGTTATCCACAACATCTGCTAAGGCAGTTGCTGTGCTATAACCTCGACGGAATCCAGACTGTCGCTCTGGTAATATATTATTAGTCTCTAGGTATCTTATAAGTTGCTCACAAACAACTTTCTCCAAGACCTTAGACACAAAGGGGAGCAAGCTAATAGGTCTCAAGTCATTCATGGTGGTCGGGTTGCTGACTTTAGGCAGGGGCTTAACTACAGCAACCTTCCAGCTATCAGGGAAGACACCATCTATAATGGACCTATTAATAATGGTTGTGATGGCCTTTAGAGTTTGCGGCAGGGTCAACTGTATCATATTTAGTGACAGACCATCATGTCCTTGTGCATCAGACTTGAATCCTTTGATGGTTTTCAGAACAGTATCCTCCGATACAGTCTGCAAGGAGAAAACTGCAGGAATAGTTAGCAATAGTTCGATAAACCTTCTATTCATAGAGGCCCTTATTTCATTGGCAGTAGTCGATCTTGGATTTATCCTGTTATCGCCTCCGAGATTTATTTTTCTTTACATGTAGTACCCTCAGTATGGCCAGCCAGTCCGCACACAGTTTAGACTAGAACGTAGTAAAAAAAGTAGAAGGTATCCCCACTCTTCACCACGCCCTGTCCCCGCTTTTCGTCGGTTCGATGGTCAGTCCTTTGTGCGCGCGCTCCACGACCGCACGCAGTTTAATAAAAAAATGTTCTACAAGTGTTTGGGATCAAATTTTTATTTTTTCAGAATAATGTCTAAACGTAGCTAAAATTGGTAATTGCAAAACAGTAGAATGTGAAAGAAATCAGAAAAAGTGATTTTATTATTACTTGAACTTCATTGTGGTTAAATGAAGGTCAAATATTGAAGTATTTGAAATATGCCGTGAAAATTAACAACATTGACCAACGTTTCAAAGTCAAATAAGGAAGTGATTAAAATATGACGTAATAATTAATAACATTGACCAAAGAATCTTTTTGCCCGAGTTAACACGCGATGTGCACCAATACTACTTTCGCTCCGAATTTGAGCCATTGTGCAAAGTTAATACGATATTCATTAACTATTGAGCCGAGTTAATACTATATTGATTAACTCATTTTATTTTTAGTTTCAACATAGCTGCTAAACCGCTAACACGACATATTTACCAGATTTTCATTTCTGATTTCAGCTGCTAACAAAGGCCATTTTGTTTAGAGTTGGTATAATCTTGTCTTGGGCCTATACGAGGTGATATTGAACAGATTCTTTATATTTTCAATATTATGATATTTCTATTATGGATTAATATGAGATTTAATCAGATTACTTTTAGTTAAAATTTCAATTTCATAATACTAGAGAATTTCATGTAAACTTTAACATGTGCTAAGTATAGATTTATCTCTTTATTTAAATCTTAAATTATTAATACACAACCCACAACAAATGTGCAAATATTCTTGTTTTCTGAAAATTTTATATCGGAAATATATTATTATCACGTGTCGTGTCTATGCCTATCCCGGGGTATGATGCAGCAGATTCTGCAGTCCTGTGGCCATGTCTTTTGTGACCAGGTTTTCTAGGAACACATGGATTCAAAGAAGGAACCACGGCAAGGGGCAAACTTGTTGTCGAGTACAAAGTCATAAGCCATTATTGGCATAATCCTCCTTCTGGCGCAGTTGGCGAATAAGAAGGAATGGACAACATTCTTAAGCACAAGTACCTTATTCCGAGAAACGTTACTTTATTAAAAGGCCTCAACTTTAAATGTGGAGATGATGATTATATGCATTAGAGAAAACTGATAAATTGATGCAAAATTCTCGTGGAATAAAAAGTATTGGGCAATTCATTCAGGCATGTCAACCGAATAAGTAATTTCAGCTACAAAAAGTTTAGTCCCGCGACTGCCTGCAAAAGAAGTATGAATTCAGCTGAACGTTAACAAAAGTCATAACGCCACCCGCTACATTCGCACGCGCACTAGGCGCCACTGCGCCGGCCCTCGCGCCGTTGTGCCACAACAGCGCCGCCGCGCAGCTTCCTCCGGTGTCGCAGCCGCAGCGGTATCGTGGAACGCACCTTCTGCGCGACCGACCGGATGGACACGGATATACACTCATTCATATGCGTTATACCATCGCCAAAGGTACATTCAAGCCAATTTAAATATGTAGCTACTTTACTAAGGTATGCGTAATCTAAATTCAAAATCCCGATGATATCTAGTCCCTTTTGCCGAAATACGGAACCAGAATGCATACACTAAACGCACCCTTCTGGGCCCTGAAATTGCATTAGGAAATTTATCACCCATTGGAAATGGGGATAATACTTAAATAAATGTAATTAATAAATAAGAACTTTTTTTGTTTAATCAACTGTAGTTTTATTGTTACTTATATGGTTTGACTCCCACTTTTTTTACTACGATCTAAACTGTGTGCGGACTGGTTGGTCGTACTGAAGGTATTACATAGTAAAGAAAAGAAATCTCTTCGGCGATGACAGGATAATTGAGATCGAACTTCACTTAGGTAAGTTCGTTTGATCATTCAATAATTGTCATTGTTTGGAGGAAATTTTAGACAGTAAAATCATTCCACCCGTGCACCGCCGAAACGCCTTTCTACCTAAATAAAAACCAACAATATGTCCACCGTTATTCCAAAAAGTGGTTTTAAATTCTGGACATCAAATCAAATGCCGTTGTTAACATTTATGTCATGATAATATGAAAACTATGATATTGATATTTACCATAATATTCTTCCTGTCTCCGTGCCAAAACATAAATTAAGCATTATTTCTGTCTCTTAGATTTGTGTATGTTATTTTCTATTACTTTTTGTTAGATTTCTATAAATATCTAGTATGTTACTGATTTAGATTGAATGCCAAACAAACTCAGCTTACTGAGGCTTACTCAACACTCACGCGTGTCGTGCCGTGACAACTCACGCCACGACTCGCCTGTTGCCAATTGCGGAAAATGGCTTAAACAACAAACTTTATTTTAAAAATATTTCTTGAATTAATTTTATTTTGTGACTATTTGATAATTGTCTTTTATACAAACCATTTCGAATATAATAAAAAAAGAACTTTCCAATTTGGTTGAGTCGTTCGGTGGTGAAGCGCATACATACTTTTCGACGATTCATTTTTATAGATATATCATTAACACGAGTCCAGTTGCTAATTATAATTACAGATGTAATACACCTCATTGTTACAATAAAAAATGTCAAAATTATGACAATCCGAATTGTTTTTTAATGTTACACATCAAATAACCAAAGAAGCTTTGGGCAATTTATTGGACTAGGCACAAATTAATAGATAAAAACAACAAAAATACGCTATTTAGGAAAAAGTTACAATTATCAATAAACGGTGATTGGAATATAATAGAAGAAAGAATAAAACGATCCTCTAATACATTTCTTCATAACTAGTGTAGTGTCATAATGACAGCATTAATGGCATAACAATACTCAACCGAATTCCCATAAACAAAAGAGAACAAGCGGGGGAAACACTCTGCCCATTTAACAAACCTCATTAAGAGACAAAAGAACACAGTATCACTGTCTAAATCAATACAGTTCATTCAAACGAGACAAAAAGCTCAGCCGCATAGCGGTCTGAACCAAGCCGGAGCGATAACGGAGTGCCAAATAAGAGGCATATTGAGACATTGCGTCACGTCCGCTACACAGCGCTGCGCTATTATGCTGATTCCATCGCATCGGGGAGACATATTATAGCGGCCAACGTGGCACGCCTCGCAATCACTCAACTTGCATCAGATCTTTATCGGATTTGCAAGAAAAGAAAACCGGAATAAATAATACTTATAGAGGGAAACGAAGTTCCTAGACCACTTAAATTATAATACTTCATCGAATAAATCCTTTTCTAATTATCTTCAAGCAACAATTGATTTCTGATTGGGTAGTAACATGTATCTTATTACTTTGAACTAAAAACGTGAATATATTAAGTGGTATCATCAATAGCCTATTTCAAACCTACTTGTGACCACAGTGGAAGTGTGCATGTACATTTAAATCACTAGCTGGGTGCTCTTGATTATCCACTATAAGGTAGTACACTAACTTCGTTAACTTAAACTTGGTCGAAAAACAGCTTCTCCTTAATCCTCTTTATCTATAAAGATAAAGATCTAATGAGAAGAAGCTGACCCAGCGAACTTCGTACCGCCATAAAAATAGGGGCAGGTGGTAGAAGAGAAAATTTAGGGTTGTATGTATTTTTTAATACCACATGTACGCGACGACCGAAGCGAGAGAAAATGAACTTACGACAATATGAGATTGATTTATAAAATGTATCTATGATTTCACATGTATCGGTTGTATACACATTAAAAATATCATTCCCTTGTTGTCTTATTAGAATGAGTCGGATATCGCAATAATAGATAGCTTTGCCCATAGTAAACCATTGTAAAATTGATAGTTCAGAGCGATATTCCGTCCCGTTCTCTCCAACAATCTTATAAGAATTTGTCTAAACGATCGCCACGACGCCAAGCGGAGGCGCGGGGAAACTAGTTAGAATGTTGATAGTTCCGACCTATAGGAGAGACAGAGACAATAGGCTGTCCTTGTCTCACATCTTATAAGATTTTGCCTGAATTGATAGTTTTCGATAATAGTATGTTTTATGTTCTGATTGATTTATTTTATGTCTTATTAGAAAATAGGTAGTTATAAGAATAATATGTCAAAGTCTTGTATAAATCATGTTAGTAGTTTAGGCGTAATTTAGGAAAATATTGGAAATAGTTTTTTACGAATAGTCGATAGGATATAGGTATAATTGTTATGATAATGATGTTGTTTTGTGTGTTTTTACTTCTTCTATAAAAAGATATATGATAGTTAGGCATTAAGTGAATGTAAGTAGGTTTTTTAAGACTTTTTAATTTGTAATCTTTATAGGGCCGTAGAGCTGTTGTTTATTGATATTCTTATTAGAAATTTGTTGTATTAGGTAGATAACGCATAGGGCTACGTAAATAAATAGGCATCACATCAATAAATGTAGAAATGTACCGTGTAGGAGACAAAATCTGTTTGTATAGAACCGTTTTCTGAGACATGTTGCGCTCCCCACCCGGCGCGCCCGCAGCGCGCGGGTGGGGCAGCGAAGCCCCATGGCAGGGCGAAGCCCTATGGAGGGGGAAAGTATAAATATTGCGGAGACCTATTTTTTGCGCGCCACACCTAAAATATCATGCTTACGGACACATAACTGTGTTAAAAATATGCCTATATGTATGCCCGATGTATGTACAATTAGTTTTAAGCTCGCACTAATGTAATTTTTGAGAAAATGAAAAATAAAGTATAGCTTGGGTGAGGTAATGGATCGCTGGCCAGCTCAGTCCTAGCATATAAAATTCGAGTCGGAACATGCTCCGACATGCATTCAGCGACAGGCGCTCCTACCCTAAGGAACAGGAAGAAACACTCAAGCGGTTCACTCTGGACCTGAAGCCTCCTCTCACCGGCCATCCATTATCAGCGCCCACCGATTTCTTCAATACCGAACACCAGGGGTTTTATTCGCCGAAACTACAGTCCACTACAGTCAAGACTCCTGCGTGTAACTTCCTCCACCCCTCAGTACGAGTCGGTAACTGTCCGCTACTGCGACAGCCCGGCGTCCCGTACACCACATTATAAATATTGTCAAAAAATATTTTAGGGGTGTGTAACGTAGTGTTCTATCAATTTCCTGGATTAACATTCCTCCTAACCCATATGAGAACACTACGTTACAATATCCAATAGTTTGAATTTTGGCGCGAAGGCACATTGTAGGTTTCAGAACACTACGTTACAGGTGGACAACCATTATCACTTAAGGATATGAAAAATAGATAGTAGCCGATTCTCAGACCCACGAAATATGCATATAAAATTTCATAAAAATCGGTCAGTCCGTTTCAGAGGAGTATGGTAACTAACATTGTGACACGAGAATTTTATATATATACTAGCTGACCCAGCGAACTTCGTACCGCCATATAAAAATAGGGGTTGGTGGTAGAAGGGTGAAAATTTAGGGTAGTATGTATTTACTAATGCTGTATCATAAAAAAAAATATCTAAAATTGAAAGAAAAAAAATTTTGGGGTGGATTACCCTTAACATTTAGGGGGATGAAAAATAGATGTTGTCCGATTCTCAGTCCTACTCAATATGCACACAAAATTTCATGAGAATCGGGAAAGCCGTTTCGGAGGAGTTTAACCACAAACACCGCGACACGAGAATTTTATATATTAGACTAGCTGACCCAGCGAACTTCGTACCGCCATAAAAAAATATGGGTTGGTGCTAGAAGGGTGAAAATTTAGGGTAGTATGTATTTACTAATGCTGTATCATAAAAAAATTTAAAAAAAAATTATCTAAAATTGAAAAAAATAAAATTTAGGGGTGGATTACCCTTAACATTTAGGGGGATGAAAAATAGATGTTGTCCGATTCTCAGTCTTACCCAATATGCACACAAAATTTCATGAGAATCGGGAAAGCCGTTTCGGAGGAGTTTAACCACAAACACCGCGACACGAGAATTTTATATATTAGATTATAATATGTTACCCAAAATTGATCAAGAGCAGCTGAGGCGTGAACGCATAACAGAGAGACAGAAGAAGTTCAGTTTTTTCACATTCATATTAACATTATTATGTAGGTATGTAACAGGTATGTGCTCATTATTAGACCGACCTTTTTTTACAAATACCATTTCGTAAATTCTCGACAAACATCGCTATCATTTGATATTACAAATGGGTTTGCAGTTCCGAAATCATCATTTCGCATCACAACCCGTATGCCGATAAATCTGGCATGTCATTATCTGTACTACCCCGAGGGCTTTTCAACGGCCAATGACGTGCAAAAATTGTATAATTCGTTGGGAAACAATGGGATTGGTAGGTACAATACAACATTGAAATGTTGGTAGTAATCGGCGACACTGTCACCATTAGTAGCACAACTAATTTATTAGAAAATTTAAATTGAAAGACCATAATTCTTCATTACACTTGAGTTATACTAATGGTAAGAGGTTTTTTTTTTTGAGAATCTGCTGCGCTCTGATGTGAAGTGAAATGAAAATATACTTTATGCAAATTGACTTATGGAAAGCTT